TAACTTTAGAGCCCCTGGACTGTGACTAGGATCCTGTACTGATTCACACACACTCACACTGAGTGGGAGGGAACATGTACAACAAAGACAATTTATGATGATAAAGAGCTTTGTCATACATTCAAGAGAGTGGATATTGTGATTTTATTTAGTTATTTATTTGTTTGTGGGGCAGGGGTTGGTGGTGGGAGGGTGTGTTAATCTATGCATCAGGACAGCAGATTGTTGACCAGCGAACTCCCAGCTTAAGGCCTCGTTAACACGCACTCCTGCTCGTTCATCAGCACAGCTGGACTCGAAAACTCCCACGCCCACATACCAGCTCAACGGGATGATTCACGATGCAAATGTGACACAAATCTGCATGGCAGAACAGCCAAGTTCTCTGCTCGACACATGTTGACAAATGTAGCGTAGACTGCTGAGAGAAAGGTTACAAAAAGCAGTCGGTCAGCTCACGGCAACTGTTCTGATTTGTCATTCTGTCTTCTGCCAGACGCTCAAAAATATTTGCCTTCTAAAATGAAGACAAAATGACTCGAGGCGTACTAGACGAAAAAAATAATTAAAAACCTTTCAGGAAGACTTGAGTCTGTGTCTTTTTAAAGCTTCAGAATACACCTAACTGATGAAACGGGAAACCGTTTGAGCATCTTGTTTTTATTGAAACTGACTTCATGTTTAGTTATACATTGAAGGAACTGTTCACACTTTCTAAAAAGGATTAATGTGGTTTGTGTTGATTCAAGCGTGAAAGGTACAAATATCCAATTGTCAAATATGAATATGGTGATGACAGGATATGTTTTCAATATCCCAACAAACGATGTACTCCACAGAGTTCACAGGGACGAGAGAGAAACTTTCAGTGACAGTAAAAAAAAACTACAAGAGCATTTTTTTCTTTAGGTATTGTAAATTTTCAAAATTTTCTTTTGTCTAGTGTTCAACATGAAATAAAATTTAAAACTGTTAAGGTTTCTAATTATGTTTATTTTTGTTATTTGTCTTGACACTGAATATAAACATTTTAGTTCGTCTTGATCTAAAATATTGACATAAATCAGTAACAAGCTGTTTTTACGTCCCCTGTAGATGTTAAGCAATAAAAATGTTCTAAAATCATAAACTACATTTTGTACTACACACAATTTTTGCTCAACTAAAATAACGTTTTTTTTATTATTATGTGAAAAACAACTGTTTTGGTTGAGTAAATAATTACACGTGATTTTGAGAAATCTGAGTCGACATTAACAACAGCAGGTACAGTTTTGTTTGCTCAGGATGACAAGATAAGAAAACAGACTTTGTTTCTCAAAAAGGAAAAGATGATTCTAAGGAAAAAAGAATTCATTCCTTTTGGTTAATCTTGTGAACAGACTGACAGATAAAAAGACAGACACCAGTGTTATAATTTAATGTCTCTGTCATTACTCTTCGAGATGATCTTTAACGATAACATGTTAATCAGAGATGAATGTGTC